AAATTGTGTAACTGAAGAAAGTGGTGAAGTTCTCCTTTTATAGGCAGCTGATCCAATGAAGCTGAGCGTTGAAAAGAGAGTCCCAAAAGGTCTGAGCCTTTTTGTCTTCACATCAAGTGACCTTTCCTAGAAGTAGATGACACAGAAAAATCCTTTTTGTCTGTGTAAGTGTGTCTAGCACAAATGAGGAAGAGACGTTGAATAGCTCCAACGGATATATTCTTGAATACTTCTTCTTCAGTCTTCAGCAAGTTCTTCAGAGTCTGAATGAATCAGAGTCTTCTGATGAGATTCAGAACTTTGCTATATCAGAGTCTTCTGCAGCAGGTGTGCTTTCAGCGTGTTGATCATCAGAGCATATTTGACACAGAACTTCTGTACTTGGCAGCGTTGGTACTTTCAGAAACTTCTGTAGACTAATGCTTTGAGAAACTCTTCAATCAATATTCTTCTATGCTTCAGATGCTTCAGCTTCAGATGCTTCTGACTCAGAATGTTCTGGAGCTTCTTGCTTCAGATCCTTCTAGAGACTACGCTCAGAATCTTCTGTAAGGAGCAAACAGATTCTTCTGTAAGGTGCATCTGGCGCTTCAGAGTCAGAATAACTTCTTGTATTCAAAACAGATTTGCTTCTAGAGAGTTAATTTCAATTCAATCTGCAGTAACACTCTCAAACAAATTTTAGAGTATATAATTCTTAAATATAAATTTCCTAACAGTTATCATCAAAACAAAGAGTTATTATTAAGAACCAATATGTGTTCTAACAATTAGAAGCTTGAAGAAGCAATTTGGCACTTGCTATTAAAGATGAAAGACTTGAAGAGCAGTTGCAGACTGAGGACTGAGCTGCTGTCAAAAGGTTGCTTTGCTGTGAAGCTGTGGGAGCTGTTGATCTGCTTTCTTTCCTGTCTGTTTACTTTTTGTGCAACTGTATTGATGTGACTTGTTTGATTTGCTTGATGCATTAGAATAAGTTCATGTTTAGATTGTGTTAAGCTAGGAGCATGATTGCACTAGAGGTTGAGTTGCTCCCTCTGTTTGTATTTTTACTGTATGGCTTTGTTTGCGGGTATTCGGTAGATCCCAGCTCCCTTGCCTATGTGGTATTGTGTTTGCTTGATAGCATGTTATTTCTTCTGTATGATTGCAGTTATTGTGTTTGCTTGATGGCATATTATTTTATTTCCTGTATGATTGCAATTATTCATATCTGGCTTGAGGTTGAGATGAGCTTGTGAAAACGGAGTATGTTGTGCGTCGTGATCTTGGCGAACGCTTCGGCCTCGATCCACTTGGTGAAATAGTCGACGCCCACTATCAGGTACTTGTTTTGATAAGAGCCCAGGGTGAACGGCCCGAGGATATCCATCCCCCACCAAGCGAATGGCCAAGGGGAGGAGAGGGACTTGAGTTCGCTCAGCGGGGCGAGGTGCATGTCCCTGTGCCGCTGACACCTGTCGCACTTCTTGACGTGTTCTTTCGCGTCCTCCTGCATTGTCGGCCAATAATATCCAGCTCGTGGGGCTTTCCTCGCTAGAGATCGTCATCCGAGATGTTGCGCGTTGATGCCTTCATGGACTTCTTGCAAGATGGTCGGGGCTTGGGTCTGGTCGACGCATTTGAGGAGGGGGATCGAGAAGACCCTCTAGTAGAGCTTGTTGTCGAGCAGCACGTACGAGCAGGAGCGTCGTTTGACCGCACTGGTCTCCTTAGCGTCGTCGGGCAGGCTCCCTTTGTCGAGGTAGGCATGTATGGGAGTCATCCAACAGTTGGAGTCCCCGATGGCGTTTACGTCGAGCAGCGTTTTCGCCCTCTCCGTGCTGGGCTATGCGAGGACTTCCTGAATGATGGTGCTCGCCAATTTCGACAGCGTAGTACGTGCTCGACTTCACACACACACACACACACACACGCACGCACGCGCGCGCACACGCGGCGATCGCACGCACGCACGCACGCACACACTCACGCACGCACGCACGCACACACTCACGCGCACGCACGCACACACTCACACACATATATGTATGTGTGTGTATTAATTAGATAGCTTATGTGCTAATTAAAATAGTGTTCTCCCCCCACTAAATAAACACACATATCATGAAATGAGAGGAGTTTCATCCCCTCTTCACGTTCCTATTTAAATTTTTATTTGACAATTGTTACTTATATTAAACAAATAGTAGTATTTTTGATGTATTTTAATTTAAATAAAAATTAAATATATTTGATTAAATAAATTTTAATTTAGTTGTACCTTTAAGTTTAGAAAATTTTAATTTTTATATGACTATTGTTAAATTATATTTTATTTATAGGTTAATTTAATATAGTTTTTTATTTTTAATATAATTTTATAGTATTAATAACAGATTAGCCATATAATTTTTAAATCTCATAATAACATTTGTAAAATGTACATTAATAACACTTAATTTTTATTAGTATTTCTTATATCGGTTAAATAATAATGTTGTCATTTCAATATTTGAATGGTTAAGAATATAATTGTGTTTTTTGAAATATTTATCGTATCATTATAAGAGAATAATATTGTCTCCACTAGCAAAATCTTCTAGATCCGTCCATACATATATTGAATTGAGAAATATATATATATATATATATATATATATATATATATATATATATATATATATATATATATATATATATATATATATATATATATATATATATATATATATATATATATATATATATATATATATATATATATATATATATATATATATATATATATATATATATATATATATTCTGCTATTTAGACTATAACTTTTTATTAAATCAAGTAACATCCTAACTTCTTTGATTGAGAAGTGACATCCTATTTGAATAGAATTATATTTTATTTATTAATTATTGAATTTGAATAGAATTATATTTTATTTATTAATTATTGAATTGGGAACCTAAACAATTGAGAGGTTCTTAGGGTTAGCTGGATACTATCACAGGTTTGTAAGGGACTTCGGTAAGATAACAAAACCACTAACTGATTTGTTAAAATGGACTGTTTTCATTGGTCTAAAGAATCTACAATTGCGTTAGATCATTTGAAACAAGCGTTAGTGAGTGCACCTGTTTCAAGCTTGCCTGATTTTGCAAAACATTTGTGGTTGAAACTGATGCCTCAGGTAAGGGAAATGAGGCAAATTTAATGCAGGACCAACACCCTATTACTTACATTAGCATGTCTTTAGGACCCAAGCAACAAGCCATGTCTATTTATGAGAGAACTTTTGGCCATAGTCTATGCAGTCCATAAGTGGGGTGCTTACCTGTCACATGCACCTTTCATTACTAAAACTGATTAAATGAGCATTAAGCATATGTTGGATCAGAACTTGAGCACACCTTTTCAACAGGTTTGGGTGTCCAAATTAATGGGTTTTGATTTCGAAACTCAGTATAAGGAAGGTTCCTTTAATACAACGGTTGATGCTTTATCTAGAAAACATGAAGTTGAGTTGTTAGCATTAAGATTGAGCATTGCACGTACTGATTTGATGCAGAGAATTGTCGAGCATTGGCAGCAGGACCCTTATCTTAAGAAAATCATCACTGACTTGAAGATGGATCTCAAATCTCATGCTAAATATTCTTAGATCCGTGATGAACTTAGGAGAAGAGGTAAATTGGTGTGATTGGCTCTGATTTTGAACTCAAGGAAATCATTCTGCAGTGGTTACACAGTTCACCAGTGGGAGGTCACTCAAGCAATGATGTAACTTCTAGTAGGGTAAAATCCTTCTCTTTTTTTGAAAGGTATGACTAAGAACATAATTACCTTTGTCAAAAATTGTAGCATCTATCAGAGACACAAACCAGATCTAACTGCATGGCATTGACTCACCCTTACACAACTCTTGATGTTGCCTAAGTTTTCCTTGATAATGTGTTCCAGTTGCATGGTCTTCTTGAGCCAATAACAAGTGACATGGGTCTTAATTTTATCAGTACCTTTTGGATTAAGTATTTCAAACTGCGGGGAGTTGATCTCCATAACCCATAAGCTTATCATCCTCAGTCTGATGAGCAAACTGAGGTGGTTAATAAATGCTTAGAAACTTACTTGAGGTGCATGTTTGTTGACCTACCTGCACAGTGGCGGTTGTTATTAGCAGAATGGTGGTACAACACAAATTTTCATTCTTCTATCCATACGACTCCCTTTTAAAGTTGTCTATGGTCAACCACCTCCCTTCCATCCACCTTACTTACCTCATTCTGCTTCAAACTTGAATGTAGACAGGTCCTTGATTGCTAGGGAAGAAGTAATAAAACTTCTAAAATTCCATTTGATGCGTGCTCAGAATAGAATGATTCAACAAGCAAATAAGCATGAAGAACTTCTTCCATTTGATGCATGTGTGTTTTCCATTGGAGATCATGTGTATCTCAAACTGCATCCATATAAATTGAATTCTTTGAAGCTCATGGAAATCACAAACTTCTTCCTAAGTTTTATGGCCCTTATGTGGTGGAAGATCGTATTGGTTCCACTGCCTATAAGCTGCAACTTCCTTCCTCAGCTGTCATACATAATGTTTTTCACGTTTCACAACTGAAGTTATGTCCTAATCCTCAGGGCCAGCCAATTCAGCATCTTCCAGTTATAGTCCCTCAAGCTAACAAGGTTCGTCTAGCAATTCTTGACGGGAAAATGGTTAAAAGAGATCGAATTTAGCTACCAAGGTCTTGGTACTATGGAAGAATTTTCCACTTGCCAATTGGATTGCAACGTAAGTACAAATTAACGATTTTGGAAAAAAACTTAACCGAAAGAACTAAATTCGCTAACAGAATAATTTTTGAAAATTCAACAGTAATATGCATGGCCAGTAAAATAAAACATGTAGACAATGTATCAAACGATTCTCCAAGACCATAGAGATACAAGTACTCCATTAAGGTTAGCCCAAAGATTTTGCAAGCATGGAAGACTTTGCACCTTGGTTATCATGCTATCATTGCAATATTTTGTCAGCAACGGGGAAGGTAAGAGACACATCAACAGGTACCTAAGGTACAGAATGATACACCAACAATTAGTTTCTTCAATACTTCAAATTCACAGTCTGGATGCAAGAACAAGGTATATACTTTATAGTCAAGATAAGAAAGGCTATGCGCTATACTAGTTATACAACATTGACAAACTATCTTGCAGATAGATGACATCAATAATATCTAATGTGTGTCATAAGTTATCTAATGTGTGTCATAAGTTGAATGAAAACGTACATGGATAACTTTAGTTTAACATACCACAGCCAAGAAAAAAAGATACTCTACAGAGTAAGATGTAAAGACAATTGTAATTATTCAGAAGTGTTCAATTTAAATTGAAAAAGTATAGAGAAGAAAAGGTATCAGCTTCAGGAGTTATCAGAAAGTGCCACAACCAAAGTAAGGTGGTAAGTTCCTTCAAATGATAAAAAATCAAGGGTGGCAATTGAAATGATGCTGAAATAACAGTCAGAATCCCGTATTTTAAAATTATACCATGGATACTCATCTACCTACATTTTGATATAGGTATTATCTTTTGTAATGTGTTTGTTGATAAACTAATAAATAAGTGGTAAAAATTACCATTGTGAGTGATTGTCAAAAAAAGGTCATTGCCTTGCCATCACAGATTAAGAGTTCTGACACTAGAAATTTTATAAACATGGTATAGGCTTCAAGAATTTTGAAAACGTGGGTCAGGAGTAAATACTAGTTTAAACAACTAACTCAGATTCGTATTGTCAAAATCACTGAAATCCGTTCTTCATGTTGCAACAAAGCCTCACCTGGAACTACAACTACTCAATGGTTCTGTGATTCATACCTGAATATTCTCTAACTTTTCCAGAGCAACTTCCAATGGTTCTGTCATCACACCATATTTCTTAAGAAACAAGCCAGCAGCCTCTTTATCACCTTGGGCTTGTATGGTGAGTATCTCCCTGCTCAGGCCTTCAACTGCACCTTCAATCTTTAGAAAGAAAAATATGATTTACATCGCTTATCTTAGGGTCAAATAGATTCAAAATGAAGGGAGGAAAATAGAAAGATTTTGAAGCAATAAATACCTTGGAAAAATCAACAGAAAATGTATCTTCAGAATGCAAGACAAATGCTCCTTTCTCATATAGCCAGTTGAACTGCAATGCTTGTCCTTTTCTGACAATATGCGGTAGAATTAGATGCTAAATTACAAAAATGAACACCAGATGAAACAAGAATGTGTAGCTAGCAACACACCCGTGAGCTTCCTCTAAGCCAAATCGTACAGAGCGAAAGCATCCAGCAAGAAAAGAAACATACATGGACTTCAATAAGCTTTCGGAAAGCATGTCCTGATGAAATCATACAGATAATCTATGACATTAACACAGTTCTAAGCAACGGAGCAATAAACTATCTAGAAAATGTATAAAGAAGTTAAACATAATGAATAACACGGGAACTAGAGAGTTACAAAGTGAAGAAAGTAAAACAGCAATTTTGGGTTTATGTTTTTTTTTTACTTTCATGTTCCCTTCACTGACTCTTCCTGTTTTGGAAAGATTCCTCATCCCCCTTTTATTTTTTTTCTCCTTTCTCTCAACAAAATATTATTCCATCCCCAGTGAAAGAGTATAACAGCTAACCTGGGAGATTAAGAACCTCAATGCCCAGAGGCCAACTATATCAGCTTTTGCTTCTTCCAGAGCTGAGTTAAATTCTTGCAATTCCTGTATCAAAAGATTAAATATTGTAATTAATGTTATATCAAACATAATCATTTCACATATGCTAGGTGCATATTATATCATTTCACATATGCAGATAAAGTATCCTTAGCAGTAAAGTTATCACAGGATATTTCAGATATTCCGGAAATCAAAGATGAAATACAATACCCGTAAAAACTTCTAACAAATGTGTTGGACTTTCCGCACATTTGGCACTCACCCCTCACGCTTGGGCCTCAATGAGCCCGAAACGTGGATGATGCGGGAAGCCCAACAATGGAACTAGGATAGGCTCTGATACCATCTTAGAATTTGGATTGGGCCTAACTCATTCCTCCAAAACCGGCTTGTAGGGTGAGGATTGCCCCCACTTATAAACACAACAGAGGCCATATCTCTAAGCACTGTGAGACTAAATCCACCCCTTCAAAGCCAACACAATGAAGGTGTTGGGGGCTGCAATTAAGGCAAGCCAAAGTGCCGCAATTAAGGCGACAAGGGACGGACCGCAATTAAGCCGAAAAGTCCAACACCCCCCCTCACGGTTGGGCCTCAATGAGCCCGAAGCGTGGACGATGCGGGAAACCCAACAATAGATCTAGGATAGGCTCTAATACCATCTTAGAATTTGGGTTGGGCCTAACTCATCGCTACAAAACCGGCTTGTAAGGTGAGGATTGCCCCCACTTATAAACACATGTTCAGGCCATATATTATTCGATGTGGGACTCTTAACACCCCCTCTCACGCCCAAGATTTGCGTCTGGGGCGTGGAACTAAATGGTGGGTGGCCCAGTGGATCTTAAACGAAGGTGTTGGGGGAAGATATGCTGAAATAAGGGTTGGTTTCCGGAAATCAAAGATGAAATACAGCATTTCAAACAAATTTAACCATCGGGTCTGGCAGATATGCAGAAATAAGGGTTGTTTCTAGTCAAGCTCTAAATATCGTGTTAAGAAGCCAGGGGAATAAGAATTGCCCTTGAAAGACTCAATAAATAGAATTTCGTGGGGAGAAGTTAGACCCAATATAAAAATTTAATATGATGCTAATAGTCTATTTATTGGAGGCACTCATCGTATTGTTCACGCACATAACCCAATAGTGATAAATGAGAGGGGTATATTGGGAAAAATTCAACTCTCAATGTGAAGAGATAAGGTCTGAAATAAAGAGTAGTATCCCTCGCTTTATAAACCAGTTTGGTAGAGTCGAGTAAGGTCTAACCCAAATTTTAAGATATGCTAATTATTGCAATTATAAAATATAATTATTCTATTTATATTTTACAAATATTGCAACAGACATATTTAGTGACAGTCCTAGACTGTACTCTCCATTACTATGTGTCTCTCACTCGCATTCTTTCACTCGTCACTTAATTCTTCTGTTTTCTCTGACTTTTCCATGGTCCTACATCACAAAGTTTAGTCCTTGAAAAAATGTGATGTTACAACCAGAATTGAAAACAAGCTTAAAATGTTACAGTTATCAGTGTCCGTAGTGGCAGATCTCATTAACATGATGATGATGATGATGATGATGATGAAGCATTAGTGAGTCATACTAACACTGTCACTATATCTATCTTGCAACTTACCAGTCTCACAGTCGACTCTTTACCATTTGGAAGTGTTATTGTGTGAGGTCCAATTCCATGGCAGCATTCATGGCAAATTGTATGAGTAAAAAACGATTCAAAATCTACAAGTTCTTGTTGTTCCTCGGCAACACAGGCACTGGCTATAGGTAAAAGAATATGATTGAACCTGATAAGAAAAGGCAGATGTCCCCAACATAAAATATCCACTTAAAAAAGAAAATGTTACAGAAGAGACTCATTCATGATGGAGTTAAAGTTTGAAGAAACTAAAGCATTAAGTGTTGGAAAGTTACTTAGCCTCTGAAACATTCTTAAGCATGACCATCGATGTTCCCCTGTCTTTTACAATGCGCTCATCATTTGGCAGATTGAAAGCAAGAGTTTGTGGTCCCTTGACATCCTGAAATAATTCAACTATTTAAAATTTCCAGTTTAGTAATTTCAAGCATGAAGAAATGCATTATAGGTCAGAAATGCCAGCGAATTATATTAGAAAGGGCATTGCGAAAATTGGGTCCACCATAACTACTGCAGAAGCTAAACATCAGATGCAATAGATTGAAATGTTTCTCCACTCTTTTTGTGGTTATGTATCATATTCATTTTTCATTCATTGGGCATCTGTTTATATTTCAAAAGCACTCCTATGAAGCCAAAAGTCTCATCCAACTAAATCATGTAATACACACACAGCTCAGACACACAGAGTAATCAAATGTTCATAACACTCACCCCTGAATTATATAGAAGTTGGATGACACGAATAGGTGCTGCGCTCACATATTTTGATTTGTATGCATTATCCATTGGAAGATTTTGCTCCAGAAGCTTCAATAGCAGAATTAGTTGTGATATCATTCACACTAATTTCGAAAAAAAATTAATAAAATTACAAAATTTAATTCAATTTAAAGGCTTGAGGCATAATACCTGCAGATTATCACCAAAAAGTTTCAATTGAGCTGTTGCCTCATCGTCTCTGATTCCAATATATGCTTCAAAGGTAGCCTAAAACAAACAATGCAATTACCAAGTTAGATAGCCAAATGTCAGCATAAGAGTTGGGCAACGAAAGGGACTCTAACAGAGTGAACGGAATAGAACTCTAATAAATGGGATGAAGTGTGTGAGACACCACAAAATAAAGTCTTTAGAGCAAATGTGGGACTTTCACAACTTCCACACTTGCATTTTACAAAAGACTTTCCAAATGAGAGAAATGTTGAGAAGTTTCCAAAGAATTTCAACTGTCTAGAGCATAAATGATAGTAGTTTATTTATAGATTTCAAACCAGAGCATTACATTTTCATCCATATATAATAAATGATTATAGACATAGAACAAGCTTTGTCGCACCAATACTGAGTCATTAAGCTCGATAGCCAGACAAAATCACTTTATGCTTCATTTTAGACATTTTACACCAAATCTTTTGAATGTTCAGCTGATACTGGCAAATGTTACAATTGTCTTAAATAATTTATTAGATAACTGAAATAACTATGAAAGTAACAAGGGTTTTTAAAAGATACTTAACACATGGTTGTCCAAGGATCTTCCTTGTAAGGACTCAGTCAACAAATTATGCATCAGGTGCCTTGAACAATAATGGAACTTCGAGAAAACAAGGTACACTCCCACAAGAATCATCAAAGACTAAGACTGTTTATGTATCTGACCGTAAATACCTATGCTATTGACAATTCTTAGCATTTTGTCTACTACAACAACCATGCAATGACATTTATTTCTGTTAAGAGTTCCACATTAGATAATATATGGCCTAAATATGTTCTTATAAGTGGGGATAATCCTTACCCTACAAACTGATTTTGTAGGGTTGAGTTAGACCCAACCACAATTCTTAACAATTTCTATATTTAAATTTGACATTACATAAACGCACCAATATTTTTGTCCATTTTAACAAGTTAACTGACAGTTGGACAGTAATGACCCAAAGCACCGCTTTACTCTTATTTTTGTGAAGTATGGACATGTCCCAAAATAAATAAAAAATCATTTAAGTTTGACATTATCATGCTTTGGGGACTTTAATTGTTTATGCAGCATAAAGCCTAGTTTTCAGTAATCACCTTATATCCAAAAAGTTTGTCTTCGTAAGTTTCATATGGCCCGATTGTGATATCCAACTTAGAGTCCTGCATAGAGAAAAAAATGCTAAATAATATCATGATTCAGAAAATTGTATACTGTTGGAAATAGAAAAAATACATTGTATGTTTCCCATTAAAATGAGCATTTAAGTCTTCGATTCATGTATATTTAGATTCATGCATTTAGGAAGTTGAAGTATTATTTATTTCTTCTTGTAAACATAATATGTAATTAATTATATAGTGTGTATAAATATCATAGTTGCCGAGTGTTTTATTCACTCAAGCACATTCAGAAAACTTTTAATTTCTATTTTTCACATGGCATTCTAGGGGACTTCCGCTAATCATTATTTAGAGATCTGACTGGACATTTTTATGCTGTCAAAACTGTTAAAACTCAAAGACAAATATAACAACTAGAAAGGATGATATATTAAATGATAGCAAACTGAGGCTATATATATTTCCAATACAACGTGTCTGAGAGAGTAAATAGCAGCTACATCTAACAGCCCTATAATGTAGTGGAAAGAATCAAAGCACTAACTAAACTCCTAAAGAATAGGTCCTCCTAAATACTAGGACTTTATTAAACAAACTGACAAATAATTAATGACTAACTCTATCATTCCCTCCCTTAAACTAATGCATCTTAGCTTTCTACTGTAACTTCAGTCACTCCAAGCATGCCGCGAAGCTTCTCAAACTGCTCTAGTTTCAGTGGCTCTATCATAATGTCGGCAATTTGTTCTTGAGTGTTGCAGTAGCTCAGTTTAATGACTCCATCATTCACCAAGTCTCTGAGGAAGTGAAACCTTACATCAATATGCTTACTCTTGCCATGAAACACCGGATTCTTCGATAACTGTATGGCAGAGCTGTTATCACACATGATCACCGTACTAGTCTTCTCTTCAATTCCAAGTTTCTCCAATATCCTCCTTAGCCAAACACATTGACAACCGCACATTGTCGCAACTATATATTCTGCCTCCGTAGTAGACAGAGCAACCACCGGTTGTTTCTTTGATGACCATGAAACAGCTCCAGCTCCCAACATAAATACAAATCCAGATGTACTTCTTCGATCATCTAAGTCACCGGCATAATCACTATCCGTAAATGCCAAAAATTTCAAGCTGCCATTGCCCTTTTTGTAGAAAATTCCATGATCGGCTGTACCTTTTAAATACCTCAGAATTCTCTTTGCTGCAAGCCAATGTGACATAGTAGGACTTGTCATGAACCTGCTTATTAAGCTAACACCATACATTCGCAGTCAAATACATGAGACTTCCAACCAATTGCTTGTATAACGTTTCATCAACTCTAACTCCAATCTCATCTTTGTACCGCTTTGTACCTGGCACTATTGGGTTCTTGACTGCATTGCTGTTTTCCATGCCAAACCTTGCTAATACTTTCCATGCATATCTTCTTTGGCATATGAATATTCCATTTGAACACTGTTTGACTTCTATCCCCAAAAAATATTTCATTTTTCCAAAGTCAGACATATCAAATTCTGACATCATTGAAGCTTTAAACTCGTCACACATGCTTCTATCATTTCCGGTAAAAATCAAATCATCAACATATAGGCTAACTATCAAAATTTTATCTCCTTTTGTCTTGGTGAACAATGTGTGCTCATTTGGACATCTTTCAAACCCTTCATGCACAAAGTAGACTTCAATTCTGCTATACCACGCTCGCGGTGCCTGTTTTAGTCCGTAAAGTGCTCTCCTCAACTTATAGACTTTCTCTTCTTCTCCCTTTTTAATGAATCCCTCTGGTTGCTGCACAAACACTTCCTCCTTGAGTTCACCATGAAGAAAGGCACTCTTTACATCGAGTTGAAAGACCTCCCAATTGAGCTGAGCAGCCATTGAAAGTATCACACGAATGGTGTCAAGTCTCGCCACCGGAGCAAATACTTCAGTGTAATCTATTCCATGACGCTGCGCATACCCTTTTGCAACCAATCTTGCTTTGAATTTCTCTATTTCTCCAACTTCATTACGCTTAGTCTTGAACACCCACTTAACTCTGATAGGCTTTACTCCTTTAGACAATCGTGTAAGCTCCCAAGTGTAATTCTTTTCTATGGCCTCAATTTCTGCTGACATTGCTTCCCTCCATTTCTTGCTTTTATTTGCTTCTACAAATGTATCAGGATCAGTGACTGCCAGCATTACATTGAGATTCTCTTCCTCTGAAAGCCCTTCCCCTGCTTCATAAGTTGTCATCCAACTTGGTGCTCTTCTTTCTCGTGCTACCCTCCCTTCAACTAATTCTCCAGTTGCGTCAAGCACTTCAGGTGTACTTGGATTTTCCTCATTTGAGGGTGTCTCCGTAGGACTGCTGCTTGAATTTCTTGTTTCACCACTTTCTTCTTCAATCTGATCATCACTTTCATCTTCAATGATACCATCACCACATTCTAATATATCTCCCTTGATCTCCTTGTTTGTTCTGCCCCAATCCCAGCTTTCTTCTTCTTCAAAAACTACAACTCTGCTGATGATAATTTTCTTCGAAACCGGATCGCATAATCTCCAAGCTTTTGATTCTTCACTAACTCCTAAAAAAATACATTTTTTGCTCTTATCATCCAACTTGCTCCTTTTTTGATCTGGCACATGGACATGTGCTACACAACCGAAGATTCGAAAATACTCCACCATTGGTTTCTTACCACTCCATGCCTCTTCCGGTGTTGTATTTTGAACTGCTGCTTTTGGAGATCGATTTTGAATGTGCACACACCATCGCACAGCATCCGGCCAGAAAGTTTTGGGAACTTGTTTCTCACTCAGCATGGATCGGACAGCATTCATAATTGTCCTGTTCTTCCTCTCGGCAACGCCGTTCTGCTGGGGGGTATAGGCTGTTGTCAATTGCCTACTAATGCCTTGTGATCGACAAAATTCTCCGAACTCATTTGAGTTAAACTCACCACCCCTATCTGTCCTCAAACATGTTATATATGCCCCTGTCTCCTTTTCAACACAAGCCTTGAAGTTTTTGAATGTGACAAAAGCTTCGGATTTTTCATGCAAGAAATAAACCCAAGTTTTACGAGTAAAGTCATCGATAAAACTTAAAATGTACCTCTTGTTGCTGCTAGAAGTTGGCGTGATAGGACCACATATGTCTGAATGGATTAGCTGAAGCGGTTTTGATGCCCTCCATAAGCTTTTCTTGGGTATGGGCTCTCTATGTTGCTTTCTAGACAAACATGTGTTGCATATCTTCTCTGGATTTTTCAACAAAGGTAAACCAATTACCATCTTGTTGATAGACAGCATTCTCAATCCCTTGTGATTCAAGTGCCCAAACCAGCAGTGCCATATGTGAGCTTCTTTATCAGCCACTCCTTCAGTCTTTAAGCACATGGAGCTCTTTGTTTTCATGGAGGCTAACACAGAGAACATTCTGTTTCCAGTCATATCACTTTGCATAATCAAACCTCTCTTAGGATGAAACACTTTGCAAGTCCCATTTTGAATCATGATTGCTAATCCCTTCTCTTGAAGTTGCCCCAAGCTTAATAAATTGTTTTTAAGCTCAGGAATATAGTAAACATCAGAAATCAACTGGGTTATGCCACTCACTTCCACTCTTATGCTTCCTTTTGCAACCACTGCCATTGTTGTGTCATTCCCAAGTTTTACGGTTCGGCTAAACTCTTCTTCCAGATCAAGAAACCATTCTCTATTCTCGGTCATGTGATTACTGCATCCTGAGTCGAGGAACCACACCTTGTCCCTCTTTGTTTCATGATGCTCTACATATGACATCAACAGAAGCTCCTCTTCTTCTTCTAACTCAGCATAATTTGCTTTCTTTTCCCAATCAGGACATTCATATTGAAAGTGCCCCAACTTATGACATTTGAAACACTCAATGGTTGCTTTGCTTTGAGGTTGTCTTCCTCTACCTCGACCACGTCCTCCTCTGAATGCGCCTCGACCTCTTCCCCTGCCTGCTCTTTCTTCATGAGCCACTTTCAACAGATGTCCCTCCTCATAATAGCCATGCATCCTATGTTCTTGAACCAACAAACTCCCGTGCAATTCATCGATGCTTAACGTACTTAAATCATTTGACTCCTCTATTGAACAAACAACATAATTGAATTTGGGAGTCAAAGACCTAAGTACCTTACTGACCACTGTACTATGCTCTATTATCTCGCCATTTGACTTCATTTTGTTTACTATAGACAAGGTTCGACCCAGGTAACTGTCTACCTTTTCTCCTTCTTTCATGGTGAGAAGTTCAAACTCTCTTCTTAGTGCCTGAAGTTGAGCCCTTTTCACCTTAGTGGATCCTTGATACTTCTGCTTCATTGAATTCCAGATTGCCTTTGACGTCCCTTTGTCAAGAATTGTCTCTAGAATTTGTCTATCTATTGCCTAGAATAGATAATTTTTGACCTTCAAATCTTTGAGTTTGGCTTCGTCCACCATCTTCCTCTGTGCGTCATTTGCTGATGACGTCCCAATTGTCGGTGTCGGTATTCCTTCATCCACCAGACTCCACATCTCCTTACTTCTCAAAAAGTTCTCCATTGTCATCGCCCAAAAATCGTAATGGCCATCGAATCTTGGGATGGAGGGTTGCAGGAATCTCTTTGATGTTGACATTCTGCTCTCTCTCTCTCTCTGTTTTACTCACATCCTTTCACACAACCAGGCCCTTTACAGAGCTCTGATGTCAATTGTTAAAACTCAGAGACAAATATAACAACTAGAAAGGATGATATATTAAATGATAGCAAACTGAGGCTATATATATTTCCAATACAACGTGTCTGAGAGAGTAAATAGCAGCTACATCTAACAGTCCTATAATGTAGTGGAAAGAATCAAAGCACTAACTAAACTCCTAAAGAATAGGTTCTCCTAAATACTAGGACTTTATTAAACAAACTGACAAATAATTAATGACTAACTATCAAAAACTCTTAAATCTTGACTGGACAACACTTGCTGTCAAGTTTTTCCAATTAAATACTGTTTGTTCTTTCTACCTTC